TCATCGGAGGCTTTCTTCTGTCGCCCCCGCGCTGAGACCGAGACCCGCGCCCTTCCTGATGACGCCGACGGCGCCGCGTGCGCGTGGTCAACTCGGCCATCGGGAGTCGACTCTCGCGTGCTCTGATGGCGCCGTCGGCTGCTTCGCGGCCGGGCCAGTCCCCTCGCGCCCGTCGCTGCCGCGAACTGCGACGTACCTGTCGCGGGACTTCCTGTCGGTTTTGAGCTGCCTCTTCAGGTCTCGGCCATGCTTCCGCGTCTTCCGACGGTCCTGGCAGATGGCGGCCAACGCCGCTGGCGCGGCGTCCTCGCCGAGATCGGCGGACTCCAGAATCGCTCAGACCTCCGCCTCACCATCGGAGTACATGGAAGACGCGTCCGAACAGTGAGTCCTCATCGCCGTCGACCTGAAAGGATGGAAGCGCTGGAGGTCGATCCCCCTGTCCTGAACCCATCGTCGCATAGCTCCTCTTCACCTTCAGATGCTCGCGACGTGAGATGCCCATGTCTCGACTTGCACTGGCCGCTCTGTGCGTCTTCTGATCTCCCAGGAGTCACCATCTGAGCCGAGCGCTCATTTAGCGAGACGCCCACTTCCAAGAACATCAATTCCGATTCATCTGGGCGAGGCAGGTCCCTGCGTGGCCACGCGATCGAACTTGAAGCCCAGCCGATCACAGTACTCCGTGATATTCCCCCCCACGCTTAATAGTACAGCAGACGCTCCCGAGCCACCTTGCGTCTCTCGTCGCATTGTCGTTCTCCAGACAGCAATTTCAGTCGAGAGATAAGCACGTCAAAGCCCAGCGAATGTGTCAGAGTGTCGTCGTCGATGTTCTCACGCTGTCCTTGCAACTCCTGGTTCAGAACACGAAACAGACGATCTGTTTGTTTGCATGTGGGAACGTCCGTCAATGCCCGCCAACGGTGCACCTTGCGGCGCCTCATACGGTAGTCACTCAATTTCGCCCACTTCTCAAGATCAGCAAAGCCCTCGCCGGAGCGCTCATTTTCGTGTCTGGAGTCGCGCTTGGTGTTAATATCATACCCATTCGGCTCTCATCTGCTATCGTACGGCCTGCTGCTCCATCTCCCAGTCAGCTGATCCCGAGCGACCGTCTCCCCAGTCACGCTGGCCCCAGCTCCTTGACCACAAATGCCCCGTCGGAGCCGGCGTCCACGTCTGGTTCGAGGGTGTCCATGGTTGTTCGGTTTTCCAACCTGCTCGTGCCAATGGTACCCCGCTACGTTCCAGCCGCCGTCCCGCCATTGCTCCGAACTGCATCGAAGCGCATGGGTTGCGGACGCTGCCGCGCCACCTCCTGGGCATGCCTCGGCACTCGTCGACTTTTCTGATCCATAACCACGCCACCCCGTCCACGAGTGCACTTCCGTCTGAGACCATTTGCCGTCGGACACGTATTGACCCGACTGTCCCTGCGAGGGGGCCTTGACTTCTTCTGAAACGCCCACGTTCTCTGAGCCCCGCTCGCTGCGAGCTCGCAGAGCTACCCGTTCCCGGGAACATGTCCAGAAGAAAGCGTGCTAACTTGTCCGCCTCGGCCTGGTCGAGATTGAGGCCCTCCTGCTGCAACAGTGTGTCGGCCAGTGTACGTACCGCCGAGTGATTCCCAGGTCTAGCCTGCGAGGGCATCCGATTATCATCGTGTTTCGCTGCTGCCGTTACCGGTCCGCGGAATTGGAGCTGCTCACAGCTCTGCTACCACTGTCGTCCCACGGACGACAGCGACGAAAGCGGGATGTCGGACGAAATCCTGTTGATTCAACATGCACGCCAACACTCGTAACAACACACAGTGCCCAACACTGCACTGCACCGCAACAATAGATGTAGGAAGGATCTGGGAAAGGGGGATTGTGGTAAGAGTGATGAGGAACGAGTATATGATTTGGGTCTTGAGCCAAGATGGTTACGACCCTTGTGCGTGACCTTCAAGCTCATAGAGTCCAGTGTGTCATCGGTGACCGAAAATGTCGGCCTCTGGACTCCAAGCACACAGGCGGAATCTTCGGTATGGGCTGGAAGATCAAAGTGGCCGATTAGATCAATTGACCATCCAGCACGTCAAAGGCCATCAGAGAGAGATCGCCGCACAGAATCGATGCGAAAAAGGGCAACGTCTACGCGGACATCGCAGCCAAGAGGGGCCTCGCCAAGCACGACATGCCGAACCCCGCTCGAAAGCTGCACGCGGAGTTGCTGGATGGAGTTCGTCAGATTGCATCGTGTGCAGCTGCTCCAGATCGGGCCCCGCCGTCTGCACGGGGGCCTCGACGTGACCAACGAGTTCGGCGAGCACGGTCCCGACGTCAGCCGCCACAGCTGGCGCCAGAGGAGCGCCTGCATGACATCGCCCGCGGTGAGCATGTGTGGAACTTTGTTCACTGCACGCGCTTCGCGCCAACTGCGCTGCATCCGGACGTAAGAAGCTAGCTCGGCAGATGTGTCAAGCCTTCCCCAGAAAATTCGGATAACATAAGAAAAGATGAGCCGCCAGGCAACCGCGATGCGCGTCCTAGGCGGGACCTCACATCGGTTGAGCCTCCCCCTCTTGCTCCATCCTCGGACCACATTGGGGCCGCCTCACCCCGAGCCCAGGCCCAGGGTCAAAGCCAGGCCCGTGGAGGAGGTGGCGGAGCATTTCATCAAGGAGGTCCGATCTAGGGTGCGTGTAGCTAGCCACCCTCAGGCTACTTTCACCGAGGCCATCGGCAATGCTGGCGCTGGCTCGGAGAAGCGCTGCAGGCTTGCAGCACCTGGCAACGCCAGCGCGACACTCCCGAGCTAGGCGCTTCCCGCGTTGGGTCCCGTCCCGCCTGAAGCTGCCCGAGGACACCTCTTGTATAGGGCTGGAGAGAGTAGGCTGCACGAAATGAAGGTCTTTCTCGGAGCGGGCTGCTCGATCCCAACTCGTTGCGAAACAAAACTCTCGCATTGCAAGATAACCCGCAGCGGAAGTGGCGCAGAGATAACTTCGCTTCGGGCCGCCATCCGAAGCAGGGCCGCAAACAACCAATTCTGCCCCCCGCAAGCTCCAGGTCACGGATCCAGCAATTCAGTGGTTAGGAGTGATTTCGGGTTTTACTGAGTACTCCCACCAGCCCTCTCGGCGTAGGTGGTCTGGGGATATTCCTCCTCTAAACCCCTTCTTCCCTTTCGGGGAGGGGTTCATCACTGTTCCTTACTAATATACACCCCCATTCCCCAGGCGACTGGGGGTCAACCCGACACCATGCCGACACCATGCCGATCCGCCCCCCATCACCCCTGCCAAAAACAATACAAACTTCACTCTGCCTCCACAGTTGGAGCATGCGCGGCCAACCCGATGCGCCCTCCACCATCCCTGTTGCAAAACAATATCAACAATATATGCAAAGTACACTTTGGGGCACAGTCTTGAGTCATGTTCGTGAGGCCCGCGAGCACTTTGTAGATACGTATTGTTGTTGGCAAGGACGGCGGGGGTGTCAGCAGATTTCCAGCTGCGCGTAAGGCTACCATCCCTTACAACAAAAAGCAATACAAAATACACCGCGAGGCAAAATGTGGATCGTGCGAGGCCACCCCGCGATCACTGCCAAGTGGTTTTTGACCGGGACGGCGGGGGTGGTGGCGCGTGGCCTGCAGTGCGCAAGCCCTTCAGGCACAATGACGGGCATTGGTTTTCTACAAGGATGGTGGGGGCCGACATGTTCCCCGATGTGTGCTGTCACGTGCGCAGGCGCACCTGACGCATTCTGCCACGTGCCCCGAACGTGGCGTACCTGGCGCGGCTGGAGTGTGCGGCACACCTGGCGCATCTGGCGCACCAGGCCTGCCTGGCACGCTGGGGCCCCAGGGGTGCCTGGCGCGCGTGGCGCCCCTGGCACGCGTGGCGCACCTCGCCCCAGCGTCGCGCGCCTGGGGTCGGCTTTGGTTCCCAGTAGCTGCCCATCCAAAGGCGACCGCTGAACATGCTGAGGCTCGGGTACTACGTATGTGTTGGGAGGGCGGGTGGGAGTGAGCTAGACGGCTTGCGGGCGGGTGAATATCTTGACACATCCGCCTATCCCCTCCCCTGAAGAGACCCACAACGGCCCCAAGAGCGCCCAAGAGCGCTCCAAGAAGGGTACGAGAGGCGATGTGTTGGGCTTCCGAAGGGGGACCCAAATTAAGGACCCCCCTTTTTTGATCGATCTCCTCCAAGTTGGCCCCAAGAGCGCCCCAAGGCTTCCAAGAACGTCCCAAAAGGGCCCCAAGAGGCGCCCAGAGAGGCACCCAAAACGCTCCAAGAGACATCGGCGACCGCCAAGAGGCCCCCAAGACGCTCCAAGAGGCCTCCAGCAGGCTTCTAAGAGACATCCGAGGAGACTCTGAGAGGCAACTCGCCTGGGCATCGTTTCTAGATGGGCTGGTTGGGAGACGCGTGACGTCAAACAGTTCTGTGACAACTCGCTTGGTATGTTATGCCTCTGCCTGGAGCGGTTTGGCTGATCGTCGTCCCCATCCAAGCTTCTGTGTCTCCTGGCCAAGCCACACTAGTCGGTGAGGGAGGAGTGCCTCGGTGCCGTGATGCTCTGGCTGGGCAATCGCGCGGCGCCTCTCCTCCTTGGTGTGTTTGATTGTGTGTTCTCACCTTTTCCCAGCGCTCCTGTCCGTCCCGATCTCGACTCGGCGCGTCGCTTGAACTGCTCGCTAACTCGGCACTATCCACCCTCCACCCTCCAACCTCCACGCTCAGCCTCCATCCTCCGTCCTGAATGCTACGCTTCATCCTCCCCCGAGGGGCTGGAGGGAGCGGAGGAGAGGCAGGGGTAGGAGGAAGGGAAAGAGGAAGAGAAGGGAAGACGAAGACGGGCACAAAGACGAGGACCAATTGCAAGAGGATTGCGCGTCGTGTTCTCGATGTGATAGAGAGTTTCTTGCCGCAGCGTGCACCTGCGAGAGAGGTGCTCTTGACTACGGTAGCTTCCCTGCGTCCCAATCAAGACAAGGGCCTCTGGTGGAAGCGCGCGACCTCCTTCCAGCTCTGCTCGAATTCGTGGGACTTGTCCTGAAACGGCGCCAACGAAGCAGAGACAATACAAGACAAGAGCACGCGTCAGGGCACATGCGAAGGGGCGGCGGGTGGGCACCGGGGCGCCGGTATGGACTGGCCGCTCGGAAGCTGGAGCTGGGCATTGGGAACTGGGGTCGGGGAGTGGCAGCCGGAGTCGGAGAGACGGGAGTGGGTGCCGGAGCCGCAGTCGGAGAGGTGGGAACCGGTGTTGGGCACGGCCTGCCGCGCACTGCCGCCACCGCCCTTCGTCGCAAACGAACCAAACTCGACGTATACACGATCAGGAAACCCACCAGCCCTCTGGGCGAAGGTGGTCTACAGAGCCTCCTCTTCCAACCCCCATTTTCCCCTTCGGGGAGGGGTGTTTCACTGTTCCCTATTAATATACACACCCTCCCCAAGGCGACAGGCAGCCAACCAGGAACAATGCGAGCCACCCCCCCAACCATCCCTGTCAGAAAACAGTGCGAAACGCACTTTGCCTCCAAATTTGGAGCATGCGCGGCCAACCCGATGGGCCCCACCCCACCATCCCTTTCAGAAAACAATGCAACATACATTGTGGGGCAAAATCCGGAATCATGTTCGTGACACCCGCGAACACTTTGCATTGGTTTTTGACTGGGACTGAGGGGCTGTCAGCACATTGACTGCTGCGCGCAGGGCTACTATCCCTGACAGAAACAATGCAACATGCACTTCGCGGTCACTGCACAAAACGACGAGAAAGCTGGATCATGCGCGGCCACCCCGCGATCACTGTCGAGGGGACGGCGCGGCCTGCAGTGCGCAAGCCCGCCAGACACAATGATGGGCATTAGTTTTCTGCAAAGATGGTGGGGGCCGACATGTTTCCCGATGTGTGCTGTCACGTGCGCAGGCGCACCTGACACACTGTGCACGTGCCCCGAACGTGGCGCACCTGGCGCGGCTGGAGTATGCGGCACACCTGGCACAAGCGACGTGGCGCATCTGGCTCACCATGCCTGTCTGGCACGCTCGGACCCCCGGGGGGGCCTGGCGCGCGTGGCGCCCCTGGCACGCGTGGCGCACCTCGCCTCAGCGTCGCGCGCATGGGCTCGACTTTGGTTCCCAGTAGCGGCCCATCCAAAGGCGACCGCTGAACATGCTGAGGCTTGGGTGTTACGTATGTGTTGGGAAGGGCGGGTGGGAGTGAGCTGGGCGGCTTGCCATCTAGGAAGGTGTCTTGACCCTCCCCACCCCCTCCCCTGGACCTGGACGGGGCGCCCCGCGAGCGGTCAGAGCATCCAAAATGACCCGCGACGACTCGAAAACAGCCTCGGGGAGTTTGAAAGGGTCGGGCGGCCCAGCCATACGCTTCGCCCGAGGCGAAACCCAATTCCCACCCTGTTGTACCGTAGCAGCGACAGCCCCAGAAGTTGGATATCGTCGCGGGAGCGAGGGGCCATGTCAAGCGAATGCGTTTTCGGCCCCGATGGCAAGTAGCGCGCCTCGCAACGAGGCGCAACCATACGTCGGCGGCCGGCCGCTTGAGCACAAACGGCCGCAGACAAACGCTCGCAATCTCTCGCCTTTGCCCCGGCCTCCTGTAGGAGTCGGGGGGGGGGGAGGGGCGAAGCGTGAGTCCGCCGCCCGCTATACAGCAAAACGCTATACATACACAAGGTAGACAGAAGCAGGCGGGCTCAACAAGGTTGACCCGCGCGCAAGTACGCAAGTATCCTTGCAAGCTAGTTGCCTCGCAGGCGAGTCGCCTTGCCGACGATTGCTCCACCAGCGGCTCAGGCGATCTTGTCTGGCCAGCCCTGCATGGAATGTGTCGGTTTCAATCCTGCTTGCAGGATTGCGCTCCGACCATGACCTGTCGGAGCATGTCTCTGTCGTTGCTCCCTTTGGGGTGACCGTCCGCGGTCTTGTCTCGAATGTCGCGCCACTGCGCAATGCACGATACCTCGATCCATCATATGTCGCGTCCAACCGATGTGTCCGAAAAGCGTGCGCTCAGTTGGTTTCTTCAGGTCTTAGCTTGACAAAGACTTGAGGACATACTCTGCATCGATGGTCAAAGTGACCTCAATGCTCAGGCCGCCCATCTCGAGTACATCTTCCCACTGAGTGGGAGTCAGCGGCCCTGCATGGAGTTCGTGCAGAGTGGCGATCGCGGGGTGGCAGTCCTCCAAATTGCGGGCTGCTGCTCGCGTTTCCGGCGAATGGCTCGACCGGGCCTGCAAGCGGTGAGACTCGCAATGCGCGACGACAAGATGGGCGACGGGTTTGCTGGCACGCGCGCGTCCACGCCGCAGCAGGCTTGCCCCGCGAATACCATGGCCTCTGACCTCGCCCTCGGCATCTCCGCTCAGTCGCCGGCAACCGGAGTCGCTGCGCATGTCGACCGCCTGCCACCCCCGTCGCCGCCTCCGCCCTGACAGGCTTGGGGCTGGCCGAGCGCCAGCCCCCCGCCCCTATCCAGGGCGCCCCCCCTCCTGAGCTGTCGCCCGCCCCCTCCGGAGCTGGCGCCTCGCTCGGGGCCCCCTCCCCTCCCGAGCTATCCCCCGCGCCGCTTTCGGCTGGCGCCAGGGCCTTGCCCGGGGCTGGGCCTGGGCGGCGCCCGCGACCCGGGCCGGGCAGAGGCGGCTGGGCCAGCGGGGGCTGGCCACCTGGCCCGCCCCTTGCTCTCGCCTTCGCCTTTGCGTTGGCAGGCTCGGGGCTGACCGCTGGATGCCCCCCCGCTCCTGTGCCAGGCGTAGTCGCCGTAACTAATGGTCGGGTGGGCAGGGCGGTCCGCACTGGTCGGCGCGCGCCCCTCGCCACCCGCGGGCTTGCGCGGCGCCTGCGCCGGCATTCGCCCCCCCCGCCAGCGCCGACCGCGATCGTGCGTGGCGCGACCAACGCCCGCGGCGGCGCGGTTGCCCGCGGCGGGCGGGCGCGCGGAAAATCTTAGGCCAATGGCCCACTGGCGAGCATCACCCGCGGCGGCGTGGCCCGGCGCGCTCGCGGGGCCACTTTCGGCCGAAGGCCCACAGGTTCAACTTCTGCGGCTCGGGCCCTGTGGCTGCGAGCCAGAATGAGGCGCCCGCCACCCCCCACTTAACCTGCAGTCTTACGTTGCAAGGGACAGACTAGTAAAACGCCGATGCCAGAAGGTTGGCCGACAAATCCTGGTAGTCGGCACTCTTCGGTAGAGTGGCCGTTTCAGGATGGGCCGGCGGGGGTTCTTCTGCGTCGGCGGCCGCGGGCGAAAGCGCCGGCGGCGTGTCAAGTCGAAGCGGGCACGCGCCACAGACTAATTAAGAGCAGAAATGGGGCACAGCACTGCCAGAGTGCGCACGCAAGAGGCCGAGGCGGAAAAGGCAAGATAAACGCGGGGAAAGAACACAGAGCGACGGGCGAGGCGACAACTAAGCGCGGCCGAGGCCTCAGGGGGGGGCTGCTGGGGCTGAGCCGAGGAGAACTGCCGCGCGCACAGCAGCAAGTCAGTCGGAGGCGTCACCGGCGGGGATTCTTTGGTTGCGACCGCGCAGCAGAGGGCAGGCGGCGAAAGGGGGCCCGGGGCACGGGCCAGCCAAATTAGCTACTAGGCGCCACGCGAGCCGGCCGGGCCAGCACTCAGAAGCGGCAGCTGGGGAGCAGCAGCGGCTGGTGGGGCTGACTGGGCTGACTGCAACGCCCGGGGAAGCTGATGCATCGAGCAAGCCTGCAGCAGGGGTGCCAAATAATTACGAACAGCACGCCGAACCGCCAGTCCACCACGGTGTAAGTGCCATGCCGCGTACTGAGAACCCCCTGCAAGCACGATCCGCACAATCACTGCAGCAAAAAAAACCAGGTACAGACTGACCATGTCGCCAGAGGGCGCCAAGGGCCAGGGCCGCGACAGCGGCATAAACCTGCCTCTGGCGGGGATTCGCGAAGCGTCAGCAATTTCGAGGCGAAACCAGCCGCGGCGCCTCAAAAGCTCCCATGGATGCCCCTGGGGCCCTTAAAATAGCATCACACGGCGCGAACAAAACCCAAACCACGATCCTCGACGCCGACGCCGACGCCGACGCCGACGCCGCCGCCGCCGCCGCCGCCCCCGGCGCCACCGCCGACGACGACGACGACGACGACGTCGTCAGTGGAGCGCCACGCGAGCGTCGATCAAAGAAGGGTCTTACGCGAGATGGAATAGCGACCTTACGCCGCAACTTACGCGAGCAACTTACGCGCCAATGTCGGCGCCAGCGACCCCCGCCACCCTCTGTCACCATCTTCGCCCATCTTGAGCCCAACAGGGCCAAGATCATCAAGATGTACTAGTAATGAGCTTGGTGCTCTCAGCATAGGTTCCAAGGAACGTCTTGGGCTCGAGGACTCCCGAGAGACCATGGCGGCCAGGAGAACGGCAAAAGCCGTAGAAGTATGAGGTTCGACTGTCCCTTAAGCGGATAGGGAACGGAAGAGAGCGCGGGGCGCTCGCGATATTTCCCTCCGATCCCAAACAGCTCGGGAACGGCCAACTCAATGTTTAAGGATATGCATATATGTACGTATGCGGCGGCAGGGAGCGCATGGCAACGACTCCCCCCGCGGCGGCACGGCCGCAGCGGCCAGCCAGGGCCGACGCGACACCATCGGGAACTAACGTCTCCGACGGCGCCAAATTCACGCAGCCGCGGGCGCGAGACTCGCAAAGCCGTCAGCAGCTCAGCTCGCCACGTCGCAATCACCCTTTAGCCATGGAAGTATGGTGTTTGTGCTGGTTTAGCCACCGGTGCGCCATGGGCGCCTGATGCTATCACCAATTCCATCCGTCGCCGCGTCGCCATGGGAAATGTCTGTTGTCGCGACGGCGATCGCCCCAGCTCTCATGACCGCCCTTGCCGCGGTCATCCTTGCAGATCCTGATGACGCTGCTTCGGTCGCTGCTCTCGTCGCTTCCTGCGCGGTCGGTGCCGGCGCAGAGCGAGACTTGGCCGACAACAGCACTGCCGTACCTCTCTCGACCGCCTCCAACACTTCTGTCATTCTGTTG